ACGGCGTCCTTGGCGCGAGCGCGGTGCCTGAGCGTAGATAATTAGCGCGATTTGTGAATAAGCTGCGAAAAAGTCACAGGCGAGAGCGCAATTCCTGAAAAGGGGATGTCTGGCGGAGCGGGGGCCTAAGCCAAAACAGGAGGAAATCTTCAGCGGGAGCGCCGTTCTTGAGTAAATTGTGAGGAAGCCTCAAACGGGAAGGGGGGTCCTGATTAAATTGCGAGGAAGTCAGGCGGGAGCGCCGATCCTGAGTAAATTGGGAGGCGGTCTCAGGCGGGAGCGGGGGTCCGGAGTAAAGTTGGAGGAAGTCTCGGGCGGGAGCCGTTGTTATTGTAGTCCGGGGGAGCAACAATGTAGTTTGACCCGGACGAAATTGCGAAAAAGTCTCAAGCGGAAGCGCCGTTCTTGAGTACGTTGGGAGGAAGTCTCAGACGGGAAGGGGGGGTCCTGAGTAAATTTGGAGGAAGTCTCAGGCGGGAGCCGTTGTTGTTGTAGTCCGGGGGGCCAGGGGCATTGTTTGACCAGGAAGACTTTCCCTTTCAAAAACCAGGGTGCGAGCGTCGAGGGGCAAACTTTGACTGAGAAAAAACAATATGCACCGGTGACGGGGGATCCACAATAATAATTCTTCAGACATGAACAACAACAGCAAACATACTTTTAAGACTGTTCGCCCTTATCTGCTCGAGTGTCCAATAACGCGTTTTTCCCAAACCCTCGATACCCGCCCTGTTCGTCTTCGAGATCGAACCCCTTTAGGGGGATACCTTTCTTCCCTGCAGGCCGGGCCCCGGCAAGCGGCGGCGCGGCCGCGGACTGTCGGCCTGGCCAGCGGCAGCGCTGATCGGCGGGGCGGCCGCGGACCGTCGACACGACCCCAAGAGGGACGGACAGGGGACCGACCACGACGACGACGTCGACGACGACGGCGACGACGACGACGGCGACGACGAGCGAGAGCGAGAGCGAGAGAGAACGACAGCAGGGCCACGACGGACACGAAGTAGGCCACGAATGGCGAGAGCGGGGACACGAAGGGAATGCGTACGGGGCCACGAAGAGCGCGAACGAGCGGGGGCCACGAAGGGCAGATAATGCGGGGCCACAGCAGGCAACGACGGGGCCGCTGAGGGTAGCAACTCGTCCACGAAGGGCATGCACATGGGGCCACAACGGGCGCGACTCCTGGGTGCTTGGGTGCCGGGAGCGCGACTCCAGAGCGCCAGGAGACCGATTCCTGCATAAATCGTAAAGAAGTCCCAAGCGAGAGCGCGACTCCTGAATAAAATGCGAGGAAGTCTCGGGCGGGAGCGGGGGTCCTGGCTAAATGGTGAGGAAGTCTCAGGCGGGAGCCGTTGTTGTTGTAACCCGAGGGCCAGGGGCGCAGTTTGAGCATCAAGATTTCCCCTGTCTAAAAACAGGGTGCGAGCGTCGAAATGCACACTTTGATTTAGAAAAAAGAGCATGCACTGGCGAGGGGGGATCAACAATAAGAAGAATTCTTCTGAAGTGAGAGTTCAACAACAACAACAACAGCAATAACAAGAACAAGAACAATGACAAAAACAACAACAACAACAACAACAACAACAACAACAACAACAACAACAAAATGCAACAAGCATAATCTCCACCACAGATTATCACTTCAGGCACGCACCCAGGGACAAGGAATGACCGTTCGGCCCCCCCACTCTGATGTAGCACCCCGCAGTTGCGGATAAGATTGACGGGGCGGGCGCGGGGTGGGTCTCGGGAGGGTCGCGGGCGAGTCGCGGGCGGGGCGGGTCGCGGGGTGGGTTGCGGGTGGGTCGCGGGTGGGTCGTGGGTGGGTCACAGGCCTGGTCGCGGGCGGGATGACGACAACAAGCAATATATAACGACAACAACAACAACAACAACAACAACAACAACAACAAGCACCACCACCACCAACAACAACCAACATCAACAGCAGCAGCAACAACAGCAACAAGATCAACAATCCGCACCGCGCAAAACCACTTCAGCCACGCACCCAGGGACAGTGATTACCGTTCGGTCCCCTCACCCTGGCATAACTCGACGCAGAGAACTCGAAGGGACCTGAGGACACTCCAACTCGTGCCTCAGGGCACGGTGGCAGGTGTATGTGTATATCGAATATATACAAGATTGCATTGGCGCTTCGCACCATGCACCTTGGTCCTTCTATTTCGGCATGCATGCGGAAGGGCAGGAAGGTAGAACCGATCTTTTCACGACAATTCCTAGTTGTATGTTCCGACCTCGTCGTTGTCATAATGTTTCGTGTAGTCATTCCCTCATGTCTCCGCTTCCTCTTCATTCTCGACCTACCTTGCGAATTCTCTCCCATCCTCCCCAGCTCTTTTCGAGGAGCCTCCTCCTTGGATAGCTCCTTAGACCTAAGGGCTTCTAGGAGCCTTCTGGAGGCCTCCTGGGCGCCTTCTGGGGGCCTCTGGAGGATTCCTCAAGCCACTCTGATTCCAACCGCGACCATCTTGAACGACCGGGCCACGATATCGAATGTTTCGGGGGGGGTCTTGGGGCCATTTGGGCCGTCATGGGGCTCTCTTCGGGCCAACTGAGGGCCCTGTTGGGCTGTCTTGGGGCTCTCTTGGACTGCCTGGAAGCCGTTGCGGATAGTGATGAGGCGATGTTCGGGCCGCCTGGGCAGTCTCGGACAGCCAGAGGACCGAAGAGCAGAGCATTCCCGACATCACACATGGGAAATCCAATTTGTTGTTAGGAGTTTCGAGGACTTCTTGGGGGTCTTCTTTGGGTCGATTTCTGGCGTCTGGTGGGAGTCTGGGACAATCTTGGGACCCTCCTGGCAGATCTGGGCCCGTTGCCTGGGCCCAGCAGGAGCTTCGAGGAGCTCCAGAATGCCCCAGAGGCCTTCTGCAGGGGCTTCCAGGGGGCCCCCGGATCGGGGGAGCGGTTCCTGTTTTGGGAGGGAGGAGGGAGGGACCCCCCCTCCTCGGCTCGTACGAAATATGGGAAGAGCTGGAGTTGGGAGAGAGAAAGAGAGAGAGAGAGAGAGAGAGCGAGTGCCAGTGAGAGCGATGTATGTGCACACATGTTCACCACTTGCCGAGGTCCGCGGGGATGGGTCCCACAGGCGGTACGGCAGGTTCGCGTCGTGCCGACTGGCGGCGACCCCGCCGCGTGCGTTTAAGGTTGAACGCTGCCCGTGGCTCAGAATCGGCCCGTCGTTGAACGATCTGGCGTCCACAGAACGTCCGATCGTTCAAGTTTGAACGATCCCCGCGGTGTCAAGAACCAACGCCTGAGCCGACACGACGCGAACCTGCCGTATTTATGGATAAATCCTTGTCTCGCAAAGGTGACCGTGGGGCGCGGGATTCCCCCACGGGCCAGGACGGGACTGCATTGGACGATTACTCTTAAGTCGGGCGTGTCCCACTACATGGGAAATATCAAAAAATAGTAAAGAAACAGTCATGGGACGATATGTTTTGCATGGTTTGAATATGTTAGAGCATTTTTTGAGTTTTCTTCAATTTTCGCCCAAAATCTGCCTGCAAGGGGGCATGCTCGACCGAAGACTACTCTTCCCAGTCCTCAGAACTCGTCCAGGCCGTCACCGTGGTGTTTCGGCATCGTCGGGTCCTTGCCAGCCTTGCGCAGTAGATCCGCCCACAGAGATCTCGTCGTGGGGACGACGACGAGTGGTGGAAGATGCAGGTTGCTCCTCTACGCTCCCCCATTCCTTCCTCCCCCTCCCTCATTCCTTCTTCCTTCGCTTTCCTCCCTTCCTGTTCCCCCCGCTTTCTGGGCCCCCCTCAACCTCTGCCTCTGCCCGACCCCTCATCTTCTTTTCCCATTCCCTCCCTCTCCCTTCTGCCTTCTCAGAGATGTGATGTCTTCATTTTCTCATTACGCGGCCTCCAGTTGTCCCAACACTTCTCCGAGGGCCAGTGTGTCATCCCGAGTTGTTTCAACGGTTCTGCGGCCCGACGGAGGCCCCCGGAGACCGAACGCAGCCGGAAACCTTCCGTCGCGATGTTTGGCCACGACGCGAGAATGTCTGGATTCATCTTCCACCTCTCCTCCCTCCCCCCTCCCCGGATCTCTTCGCTGGACCTCCGACGGGATCCGATGTCCTGCTTTTCCAGCGCTGGGGCCCCCGGCCTTGGCGACCCCTGACACCCAGGACTGCCGTTTGCCGTTGCTGCCGTCCCGCCCTGGGGCGTTTTGCGATGGCCGGCCTGGGAGAGGAAGCGTCCCAGAGCGGGGGGAGGGAAGGGTATATCGTTTTCGAAGGGGGAGGGGGGGAGGGAGGAAGTCTTCTTTTCGATTGTTCTTTGACGTTTTCTCGCCTGAGGATGTTTTCCAGCAACTGCGCCTCGTCGAGGGCTCTCTGGGGGTGCCCAGATCCTCCCGAACGGCCGCCAAAGGCCCGAGTCATGACCCGAAAAACCACCAGGCGTCAAAGGGGAGGGGGCGAGGACTACGAGGCGATCTCATGGCCGCGGCCATGAACTCTCCCAGATTTCATGTCCTCCCCTCCTTCTCTCAATACGTTTCCTCCCTCTCGCGCACATGCCTCCGGTCATGCTGCGCCTCCCCTTTTCTGGCGCCCCTCTTCGACGTATCCAGTAAGAGAAGGGCTCATGAGGCCGAGATGTCTTCGGAGGCACCGACATTGAAAAAGCACATCGTCAGACGCGTGGGTCCTCCTCCTCCTCCTCCTCCTCCTCCTCCTTCTCCCCAAGGTCGATCCCCAGATCTCTCTCCTGGGGCGCGCGCTGGCCAGAGTTTCGGGGCGGATCCGGCCGTGGCCTCGACGAGGGGTGGCCGGAAAAGGTAGCAAAGGCCCTCGATCCTCGATCCCCCTCGATCCTCGATCCTCCTCGATCTTCCTGATCCTCGATCCCCGATCCTCCTCGATCCTTGCCCTCCCAGCGCCTTTCAAGGCAGCGCTCTGGACCAGCAGGGCCCCGGGCGCCGCCTTGGCTTCCCCCGTGCCCCCGCAGGGTGAGGGGTTGAGCATGGCGGAGCTGCAGGGCTTCTTCATGTTCTTCAAGGAGCGCGGGAGGCGGAGAAGAGGAGCCGATTGCACGTGAGAGTGACCCTTCGTCGGAGTGCGGGCGCACCAGGGTTCGCCCGATCGTGGAGCGCAGCGGCCGCCTGCGCGCTTAGATTTGTCCACCTCGCGCCCCCTAAATGCGCGCACGAAAGGTCACTCTGTGCCTAGGGTCACTCTTGCGTGTAGCCGAATCCCGCCCGTGTTCGCACATGATAAAAAAACATGCTTCTGGAGAGTGGTCCTGGGATCCCAAGCTCTGTGTTTCCATTGTCGGCCTCTCGGGGCCTTCCCTGGGCCGTGGGGCCGCCAATGGAAACTGAGGAGAGCCCCTGGGTCATGGACCCGTGTTCCATCGGGACTCCTTTCCCTCGTGCCCCAGGTCCGGGGCGGGGATTCCTCGACAACCACCGCTTTGGGGATCGATCTTCGGGGACCTCGGCAGGCGGTGGATGTGGACATGTCTTCGGGTCTCTGGGCCCAGAAGTTGCCCATGTCCGCCGCCCGCGGGGGTCCCAGGACGTCGGGAGGAGTGCGGGGAGGCTTCAACACACATGGTGATGTTGGCCTGCGCGAGGGCCTGGACACGTGTCTTGGCATCGCTCGGACGTGTGCATTTCGTCTCGGCGAGGACCATCGAGGAGCATCCTGGATCACCGACCAAAAGAGGAAAAAACGCCCGAGACCGAAAAATGCACAGGGAATGGACGTCCGAGCGATGGCGAGGTGTGGGCGTGCGCCTCTCCTCTGCTCTGCCCCTCCCCCACTGTGGCCGGTGACGGCTGGTCCTGCGTGCGTGCCGCCAGCAGTCGGCCTCCGCACGCCCCTCTCGCAGTTCCTCCGGGCGCGTGCATGCAGCCAAGCGGCCTTGAAACAGGGCGTACACATCGGAGGAATCAGTAGAGCTTGGCATTGCTCGGACGTGTGCATAATTTCTCGGCCTGGACCATCGACGCCCCGACCGCTCTCGACCGACCCCGTCCAGATCCAGGGGAGGGGGTAGGCCGGCCATACGCCATCACCCCCGCCGTCCCAGACAAAAACTACTTGACAATGATCGCGGTGTGGCTGCGCACTATCCACATTTCGCCGCGAGGTGCATTTTGCATTGTGTGTTTGTCAGGGATGGTAGCCCTGCGCGAAGCAGGCAATGTGCTGACACCCCCGCCGTCGCTGTCGAAAAACAATACAAAGTGCCCGCGGTCCTCACGAACATGACTCCAGATTTTGCCCCAAAGTGTACCGTGTATTGTTTTGTTGACAGGGATGGTAGGGTGGGGGGGCCGCATCGGGTTGCTTTCGCATGCTCCGAATTTGGAGGCAGAGTGCGTTTTGTATTGTTTTTTGATATGGATGGTGGGGGGGGCCCTCATGGTGTGCGCATGGTTCCGGGCTGGATGCTGGCCGGGTGGGGGAGGGGGTGTTTATCAATAGGGAACAGTGGTCAAGACACCCATTTGCCCGCAAGCCGTCTGGCTCATTCCCACCCGCCCTCCCTACACATGAGTAGCACCCGAGCCTGAGCATGTTCAGCGGTCGTCTTTGGATGGACAGCTACTGGGAATCAGAGCCGACCCCAGGCGCGCGACTTTTGGGCGAGGTGCGCCACGCGTGCCAGGGGCGCCACGCGCGCCAGGCCCCGCTGGGGCCCGAGCGTGCCAGGCACGCCTGGCGCGCCAGATGCGCCACGTGCTCCGAGTGCGCCAGGTGTGCCGCACACCCCAGCCGCGCCAGGTGCGCCGCGTTCGGGGCACGTGCAGAGTGTGTCAGGTGCGCCTGCGCACGTGACAGCACACATCGGGAAACATGTCGGCCCCCGCCGCCATCCTTGTCAAAAACCGATGCCCATCATTGTGTCTGCTGGGCCTGCGCACAGCAGGCCACGCGCCACCACCCCCGCTGTCCCTGTCAAAAACCACTTGACAGTGATCGCGGGATGGCCGCGCATGATCCAGATCTAGCCGCGAGGTACTTGCTGCATTGTTTTTGTATCAGGGATGGTAGCCCTGCGCACAGCAGGGAACATGCTGACACCCCCGCCGTCCTTGTCAAGAGCAGTACGAAGTGCTCGCGGGCCTCACGAACATGACTCAAGACTTTGCCCCAAAGTGTACCTTGCATTGATGTTTGACAGGGATGGTGGGGGGGCCTCATCGGGTTGGCCGCGCATGCTCCAAATGTGGAGGCAGAGTGCGGTTTGTATTTTTTGTTGACTGGGATGGTGGGGGGCGGGTTGTCATGGTGTCGGCATGGTGGCCCCTGGTCGCTTGGTGGGAGGGGGTGTATATGAATAGGGAACAGTGACCGACCCCTCCCCGAAGGGGAAGACGGAGGGTCGAAGAGGAAACTCCCCAAACGACCTACGCCCAGAGGGCTGGTGGGATTCCAGGATTCTGATGGCCATACCCCCCGCTAGCCGAGACCATCTCCAGGCGCATCCAGCTTGGCACCGGCGAGAAGTCGCACCCCTTCGTCGGCCCAGGCTGAGTCGCCGACAGGGCCACATTGCTCTTACCCATGCTTCAGTTCGTAGAGCGCTCATGGGCCTGCTGGTGAACGCCGTCAGATTTTCCCCTCCCGACTCTCCCCAGGGGCAACGATAGGGGGGACAGGCAGAAAGGGGGATGCATCGACCCCCAATCCCCCTTTGATCGCCGAGAGGGGCCCAAAGCCTCGCCTCGCCCAGAAGCGTGGGGATTTGCCATCGGGGGCATCTCGCCATTCTCTCGGCGCTGTATCGCCGATTCCAGGCCGATGTTCTCCCGCCTATGCCTGTCCCCCCTATCGTTGCCCCTCCTACAGTCGGGCCGAGGTATACGGTCGAGGTCGGTTCGGGAAGGGTACCCTAATGTTCTCTGTGCTCGTTGGACGTTCTTGTGCATCCTGGGGAGGGTACTCTTGGATGCTCTGTGGAGGCGGAGGGCCTCACGTTCCTGGAGGACGTTCTTCTGCCCCAGGTCCGACTGTAGCCGGCGGCCGCCCGAGGGTTCTGCTGCGCACCTCTCACCGGGGGGCCACGGCCGACCAGCCGGTAAAAAACCCGCAGGCCCGCCCGTGCCGCGCGCGCGCTGCCGCCTTCGCCCGCTTCGCTTCCGCTCTGGCTAGCACCCCTTCTGTCCCACCCGGCGGCTCTTGCTTGCGTCCGTCTGACTAGGTCAGAGCCCCGAATCATCAGGGGTAACTCGGGTCAGGGATAACTCGGGTTCCTTTTTCGGGAATCCAAACCCGAGTTACCCCAGACCCGAGTTACCCCGGATAACTCGGGCGCCCAAGAGCCCCGAATCATCAGGGGTAAGTCGGGTCAGGGATAACTCGGGTTCCTTTTTCGGGAATCCAAGCCCGAGTTACCCCGGACCCGAGTTACCCCGGATAACTCGGGCGCCCAACTAGGGTGGGCAGGATCTGCCCGCTCCAGCAACGTGATCGTGATCCCTGGCCGGAGTTTTGGCCACGTTCGCACGTTCGCAGGACGGCCTGGCGACGAGCGTGACAGGTGCCGGCACAGTTGGCGAAGCGAGTTGTGTACAGCATCGGTGTCCAGTCCGCAAAGAATGTTTTCCGCCCGTCGCTGCGCTGAGCCTTCCCTGGGAGCCGTTGCCTGGGCCGCCGCAGCCGCCGTGCGTCACCGTCGGAAACGCGAGGGGCCGGCAGCGCTGCGCCGACTTCTCGGACGCCGTCTTCCTCTTCGTCGCTGGATCCCCCCCCGTCGGCATCGCTCGGACGTGTGAATTTTTCCTTGGGCGGCGACGATCATCGAGGAGCGTCTGTAGGGGAACGGAAAATTACATAAACCACACCTCGGAGGTCCGCGCGGATTTCTTGGATCCGCGCTGGACCCCCCTCCCTGGCGCGCGGAGCGCGCCAGGGGCCGCGCCGAAGACGCCGCCAGGGGGGTCCAGCGCCGATGCGAGAAATCCGCGCGGACCTCCGAGTCTGTCTGTTTATGGCATTGCTATCGTTCCCCGAATCTCGCGACAAAGTGCACGCGCGACGTCGAAAGATGCCCGGGGAGTGGCCAGTCCGAGCGACGGAGGGCCCTCGCCCCCAGGAGGAGCCCGGCGCCGCGCTGGCGAACGTGGGGCCCTTCTTGGAGTCCCGCCGGCAGGTCATGGCGGACCCGCAGGCGGCCCTCTCTCGTTGCACGCCGCCGCGCCGCGGGGGGGCCATCCTCGTGGGGGCAGTTTCCGGGGAAGGAAACGTGGCATAAGCATAAAAGCTCGGAAATCCGCGCGGATTGCTTGCATCCGCGCTGGGGCCCTTTGGCGCCGGCGCGCTCCGCCCGCCCGGGAGGGGGGTCCAGCGCCGATCCGAGAAATCAGCACGGACCGCCGAGTTTTTATGTTTATGTCATTGTTCGTTCCCTTGTTCTCTCTTTGTACGCCTCCGCGCCGCCAGTGGGCCATCCTCTTTGGGGCAGTTTGCTTTGTCGTCGGATCGGCGGCGTCTTGTCAAGGGAGGGAAAAGCACCCAGCCCCCGATGATTGGCGTTTGCTAGGCGGCCTGGGGTGTTCACTGAACACCCCTGCCCTGTTTGAGATTCCTTCGTTGGGTGTGTTTGCTAAACGGCTTCGCTTGCCGGGGTGCTTGTTGTGAGGTTGGGGTGTCTGGCTTCTATATTCGGCGGGATCAGGACCGTCGACGCGTAGAAAGGGGCAGGGGGAGGGGTCAAGTTTTCTTAGAAGCACCCCTGCATAGAAGGCGCGCGCCTCGTCTGTAAATGTAATAAGGCCTGCGCCTTCTAAGAAGCAGCCTCCTTCTAACAAGCCTTCCCCCCTTCCCGCCTCCCCCTAGTTCCTTGTGCACGCCGCCAGCAGGAGAGGGACGAGGGGGAGGACGAAGAGTAAGACAAAGATCCAGAGGAGGAGGAGCAGGAGGAGGAGGATCAGTGCAAACCCAAGTCGCATCAACGATGTTGCAATAAAACCTCCCTCCGAGTTCCCTCCTCAGAGGTCCCTGCAAGAATGTATGCTCAGTGCGGGAAGTGATCATCTGAAGGCAACAGCTTGAGAATCTTCAGTCGTGCCAAAACCCAAGTCCTGGGGCCTCAGCGCCGCGAATCAACGTGACTGTTGCGCTCTGCCCATCCTAATCCTGTCACCCCAACGCAGCGAATCAACGTGATTGTGGCGTCCTGACAATCCTAAATCGTGCCAGAACACCGTGCCAGAGCACCGCCCCTGGCATCCAACCATAAGAATCCTCGAAATTGCTGCAAAGTTTGACGACGAATGTGCGTGGCGCTCAGGCGAGAGCCACATTTTGAAAAGGAACCGCCCTCCATCCGTGAATCAGCTGCAAGCTGTTGAGACACTTGTGCGCGGCGCTCAGGCGAGAGCCGCATTACAAAAAGGACCCACCCTCCTGCCGTGAAACTGTTGCAGCAAAGTGTCAAGATAGATGTGCGGCGCTCAGGCTAGAGGCAAGTTTTGAAACGAATCCGCCTTCCGTGATTTTGTTGCAGCAGTTTGTTAAGACACATGTGCGCGGCGCCAAGGCGAGATTCACATTTTGAAAACCTGCCGCCCTCCACGCATGACACTGTTGCACATTTCAAGCTCAAGGGTTCTATATGGTGAGGAAGTTTCAGGCGAAACGCCCGGCCCGCCTACCGACACGTCTGGGGTTGCGACAGGGCGAAGTTATCGAAGGCGCCTACGGCGAATCGCCGCCGCCCCCTGCTATTTAGGATACGCTTTTGTATGCTTTTGTTTATGAGGAATCCTGGAGGCCTCGCGCGGCGAGCAATAGTTGTAGTATCTAGTCCACACGTCAGCTCCGTAAGCTATGGGTCGACGCTCGCGCGGCGATGCTCCGGCGTCAGTCCGACGTACATCCGACGTAATTCCGACGTAGTCCGCCGTGAACCCGACGTAAATTCGACGTGGATCCGACGTGAATCGGGTCTCAAGCTTCCGCGCGAGGCCTCCACGATTTTCCTCATAACTCTATGGCCAAATATTTGGGCAATTTTGGCCACGCTATTGGACCATGCATTTCCCCAGCCGTTGTGGACGCCCTCCAGGGAACACGTGGGGAAGGAAGAGGAGGTTGAGGAGAGTGAAGAAAAAGCAGGATGAGGAGAAGAATGAGAAGACCTCTTGGGAGCTTATTGGGTTGTTCTTGGGGCCTACTGGGAGCCTCCTGGGGGCCTCTTGGAGGCTTCTTGGGGGCCTCCTTGGGCCTCTTGGGGGCCTTTGGGGGGCTTCTTGGAGGCCTCTTTGACCGCCTTGCGGCGGTCCTTGCCCGTCTCACGCCGTCGGGAGCCGTCTTAGGAGGCTCTTTGGGCCGTCTTGGGGCCCTGTTGGGGCGCTTCAGGGTCGTGTTGAAGGCCATCTTGGGCGTCTTGGAGGCCTCTCGGGCCCTCTTGGGCCCTTCGGGGGCCGTCTTGGGAGCCTCTTGGGCCATGTTGGAGGACTCTTGGGCGATCATGGGGCAATCTTGGGGGTCTCTCGGGCCGCCGGAAGGCCGTTTTGAAGTATAAGTCAATGCGTTTGGCTTCTTGGAGCCTTCTGGCGTACCTCTTCGAGGCTTCTTGAGCCGTCTTCGGGGCCTCTTGGGCGCTTCATGGGCCGTCGTGGGCTCTCTTGGACCATCTTGGCGGTCTTGGAGGCATCTTGGGATCGTCTCGGACGCCATCTTGGGGCTATCTTGGGCTCCCTTGGTGCAATCTTGGCTGGCTGGGAGGCATCTTGGAGGCAATCTTGGCCGTCTTGGAGCCGATGGGGCCAACGGGGACAGAAATGTGGGAATCGGCCGAAGCTCCTGGGGAAGTTCAGTTCGAAAGGACCCATGAAACAATTTGACATTCAGCACGGCAGGCACCCCTGTGGCAAGAGACAGGGGGAGGCGGATGACAGAAAGCGCGCGTAGTGTCGTGATCTGTCAGCCGGGGAAATCGCACAGGGGGGCGTGAGCGGGTTGGCCATTGAGGACCCAGATCTAGTAGCCAAATCTTCTACCATGTTCGGCCCTAAACCGCCCAAGTCAACCCCATGACCGCCTCAGAGGGCTCCAAGATGGCCCAAGACGGCCCCTAGAGCGCCCAAGCTACCGCCACGACGGCCTCAGGAAGACCCACGAAGGCCCCAAGACGTCCCGAGACGCTCAAAGAGGGTCCAGGATGGCTTCAAGACGGCGGAAGAGGCCTTCAAGACGCCTCACGAGGCCTCCAAAAGGGCGCCCCAGAGTGAACAATCGCTTCATTTCCGATGGAAAGCGTAAATGTTCAGCAGATCTGCTTCTATGGTTTCCGCAGGGCCCACAACGGCCCAACAGGCCCCCAGGATCGCCCCAAGACGGCGCAAGAGGCTCCCAAGACGGCCCCAAGACGGCCCAAGGTGGCTCTAAGACGGTCCGTATCCATTTTGGCTCAAGTTGGGCTCAATGTTGCAATAGCTCTTAATTTACACGCGTGGCAGATACTTTGCTTCCGAAGCAGGGCCTCGTACCTTATACAATCGCAGGGCTCTTGTGTTGATCGTGCGCTTCATATGGCTGTCACTGGTGGTGCTCCGGCCTGTCCGTGGACTTTCCGCAGTCAGTCTGTCCCAGACGGAATCAGAGGACAGCAAGTTGAAGAACTCTTATGAATCCATGGGGCAAAAAGTTGAATTGGACGAACCAATCGAACAGCGAGTAGTTTTCCCTTCGAAGGCGAACTGCAGCGAGAAAAGCTGGACAACTCCTAAGTTCAAGGTTTCTGGCGGAAAACCTTTCACGTTCTCGCAGAAGCCGTGGATCGTGTTCCGAGGGGCAACATTGCGCAGCTCGGCCGACGCGCAGGAGGTGGCGCTCTGCTCGATCAGGCGCCACGTGGTGGAACTCCTGAAGAGGGCGTACGCTTTGAACTCGGTGCACGTGCACCTTTGTGTTCGCCCCCACGGGGCGAACCGTCGACTCGTGGCGAGCGCCGAGAAGCACTTACCCGTTACGAAAGTTCTTCATCATGAGCACTGACAACTAGGGCGTGTTCATTGCATTCGGCAGTGCACGGTGCCGAGGAGTAGCCCGAGGAGGAGGAGGAGTAGGCGGACCAGGAGGAAGAGTATATAATCGCCGGGTGTACAGAAAGGGCTGGGTACGTCACAGGGTAAATTGCGAGACTCGCGTCCCCTCTTCTATTGCCTCTGTCAGTCCAACACTGCCTACAGGGGTCCCTGCACGCAGGCTTTACTGACCAAGCCTGGTGCCGAGAGCCCCTTCGGGTTGCGAGTTTGCGCCACCCGCAGGCAGTGCGCACGAGCATGCTCCAATCATCAATCATTTCCCGCTACGCAGAAGTGTGGAGCCAGGCTCGTGCGAGGACTGCGCGGCACGGCCACGGCGGTGCGGCGCGCTTTCTAGGTGCCGCGCTTCCTGCTTTGCGCCGCACGGCCAGATGCGGCTGGCACACATACAAACGTCGTTGCGGCCGGAATTGGCCGAGCCTAGTTTGTCATCAGCGTTCATTGCAGGGTGGGCGTTGCTAGGTGGCCGCTCCGTACCAACAGCCAGCGGCCTGACCTGGCGTGAAACGACCGCACGGCGGAGATACAGCGGCGCCGCAGCACCGCTGTCTGGGGGGAGAAGGGGAGGGTAGGGGGGGAAAGGTTGGATGCTTAGATGAGTAGAGGGTCGGAGGGATTATGACCTCTTGTGGCCCCCATTCGGCCTTTGGGCTCCCTGGGGGGCCCTTGTGGTTCCCGCTGAACGCCGTCTGGCGCTGTGGCCTGCCTCTTCGGCCGTCGCGGCGGTGATGCGAGACACTTTCACCCTGGCGGCATACTTAATCCATGGTGTTCAGAGGGCATCTGAGGCCTAGAGGGTCCATCTGAGACTTCGGGGCCCAGTCCTGCGGTGGGCGTTTGGCCCTTTCAACCCGCTGTTCACCCGCTGTTCACCTACGACCGCTGGATCAGTGCCGACGGCGAGGCGTTGTGCAAATGGGACTAAACTTCGGGGCCCAGGCGCGCGGGCGAAGCGATCGCGCAGGTCATGGGGCGGGCGTTTGTCCTCTTGGGAGCGCCGGTGCATTCGGCAGTGCACGGTGCCATCTTAGGCGCCGTCGATCAAACAAAAAATGGCTCTAAGACCGCCGAGGAGGGCCCAAAGACGGGCCAAGAGAGCAAGACGCCCAAGTCCCCCAAGACGGCCCAAGACGGCCCCAGGACGACCCAAGAGGGCCCCACGGCGGCCCAAAGGAACCCCCCAACAAAAATCCCAAGAAGGCCCAGAGAGCCCATACAGCTCGAGAAGAAATATTTGGAAATGGATCCCGCGCCCGCGTCGGACCCGCATTATTTGCGGCGTCTTCTTCAGGGTTCCAATGGCACTGTTTGCCTGTCCTGTCTGCCTTCGTCGTCCCAAATCCTACATGGCTACATGTTTGTTTATTGCGAGCTTTCGTTATAGCATGCTTGCACGTCCCCTTGTCCAGAACATGCGCAAGGCTCGCCGCTATGGGAGGTGCGGGATATAAACGAGGCACGCAAAACAATGTTTGCACGGTGGCAATGGGACGCCGAATCCAATCACTGTTTGCGCGTAGTTTGCGAGATGATGCCCCGCGCGAGAAAACAGGGCCTTCGCAGGTTGCCGAGGGGTTACGGTAGATGCGCGGACGAGGCGAGGCGCGCGGACGTATTCGGCGTTGATAGTTTCGCTGCTCTTTCAGGCCCTCGCGGAACGCGCGGGTTTGCGCTCGGCGACGGTCCTTTGTGGCATTATGAGATCATGTTAGACGCGCGGATGTGCTCGGCGCCGAGGGTTCCGTGTCACCAGGAGACCGCGTCAGACTCGCAGATATTCTCGCCGCCGGGGGGTTCGTGGCATAGTAAAATTGCGCAAGTCTCGCAGATGTGTTCGGCGCCGAGGATTTCGTGGCACCCTGAAGCTCTTTGGGACCGCTTGAGACCACCGTCGGGGCGCTCCACGTGTATGACTTGTAATCTTTTCCGCAGAGTTCGAAGCCCATCCGACATTCACTTTTTATTGTATTAATCGAAAGTTCGGAGGGTCTCAGGGTGGCTCGAGCACGGACGGGCCGCCACCCAGGCACCACAACGTTCGCAAAAGTGCAGCAATGTGGTTGGTCCTTGCTGGCTCAGCGTGAACGCGGCGCCCGATGTCACGGCGTGGGGTTGTCTCGGGTATGGCGTGAATGCGAATGCCACCTCATGAACAATGCACACGTCCATGTCCAACCCTTTGTCGCCTTTTGTTTCTTGTTGGAGTCGAGGAAGCCTGTTCGGAAATTGATTCCGCGCCCGCATCGGGCCTGCATTCTTCGCGGCGCCCACTTCAGGGTTCCAATGAAATTGTTTTCCTTCGCCGTCCCGAGTCGTATACGGTTGTATGCTTGTTTATTGCAAGATTGCGTGATGGCATGCTTCCGCGTTGCAGTGTCCAGCGCCATGCGAGGCGTGGCGCGGGAAATACACGAGGCACGCAAGACGATGTTTACACGGTAGTAATGGGATAAGCCATGCGAAGCAATGATTGTTCGCGCGTAGTTTGCGTTATGATTTGCCCACGAGAAACCTTTCCGCAACGACAAGATAACGTTCGCAGGTGTCCTAGGGTGTTAGCGGTGCACTGGGGCCCTGCGAAACGCGCGGATGCGTTCGGCGCCATAGTTTCGTGGCAAGTTGGAGTTGGGCGAGGCGCGCGGATGTGCGTTCGGAGGTGGGCGTTTTGCTGCACTCTGAGATCACGTGAGACGTGCGGATGTGCTCGGCGCCGAGAACTTCGTGGCACCAGGAGACCGCGTGAGACTCGCGGGTGTGCTCTGCGCCATGGGTTTTCGTAGCAGTGCACGGTTGCGCGAGGCGCGCAGATGCGCTCGGCGCCGGGGTATTGGTGGCGCTGTGAGATCATGTGGTACGCGCGGACGTGCTCGTCGCCGAAGGTTCCGTGGCACCATGAAACCGCGTGAGACTCTCGGGCGCGTTCGGTGCCGAGGGTCTCGTGGCACTGGGACCGCGCGAGACTCGCTGATGAGTTCGGCGCCGAGAATTGCGTGGCATTCTGAAGGCCTGTGAGACCGTTTGAGACCGCTTGAGACCTCCGTCGGTGCGCTCCATGTGTCTGCTGTGCTTCACTGCTTGTGCAGATTTCGAGACCCATCCGAAATTCACGTTGGTTCGGAGGGTCTCAAGGTGGCTCGAGCACGGAAGGGCCGCCGCTCCAGCACATTAATTTTCGCAGAAGTCAAACATGTTTTTTTTGGCCCGCGCTGGCTCAGCGCACGCGCAGTGCCCGAGTACGCACACGTCCATTTCCAACCCTTCGTCGCCGTTTTTCTGTTGAAGTCGAGAAGACATGCTTGGAAATGGATTCCGCGCCCGCGTCGGCCCTGCAGTCTTTCCGGCGACTCCTTACGGGTTGCACTGGCATTGTTTGCATTCGCCGTGCCAAACCCTGCATGCTTGCATGTTTGTGTTTTGCGAGTTTGCGTTATGGCATGTTTCGACGTTCCCTTGTCCAGCGCATGCGAGGCTCGCTCACCGCTATGGGCGGCGCGGGAAATGAACGTCGCACGTAAGACAACGTTCACACAGTAGCAATGGGATAATGCATGCGAGACAATGATTATTTGCGCGTAGTTTGCGGTATGAGGTCTTGCGCGGGAAACAAAAAACAGTGCCGCAACGACAAGATCGCGTTCGTGGGTGTCCGATGGGGGTAGCTGCGCATTGGGCCCTTGCGAGACGCGCGGATGCGTTCGGCGCGCGGATGTGTTTGGCGCTGATGGCTTCGCTGTTTTGTGGGACTTCTCTGGAGTGCACGGATGAGCTTGGCGCTGAGGTTTTGTGGCTCTCTGAGATCATGTGGGACGTCCCAATGGTTCGCCACCAAGGGCTTCGTGGCACCAGAAGGCCACGCGAGATTCGCGGGTGCGCTGTGCGCCGAAGGTTTCCGTGGCATTGCACGGTTGCGCGAGGCGCGCAGATGTGTTCGGCGCCGGGGTAAAAGTGGCGTTGTGAGATCATGTGAGGAGCGGATGTGCTCGTCGCCGAGGGTTCTGTTGCACCACGAAACCGCGTGAGATTCGCGGATGCGTTCGGCGCTCAGGGCCTCGTGGCATTCTGAGACCGTTTGAAACCGCTTGAGGCCCCCTTCGGGGCGCTCACGGTGTGTAGTTGTCTACAGTAAATGGAGATTGTGACACGATATCCATCCGACACTCATGCAGTACACTATGAAATCGCCCAGGCGCAACAACCGTCGCAGAATGTTAGCACACGTTTTGGTACACGCTGGCTTAGCGGCTTAGCGTACGCGCGACGCCCGATGCTGCTACGCCCCACTTGTTGGTCATCGGCGACCCCCCTCCGGATAATACGTAATAATACCAGATACTCGCGCCAAATATTGTTTCAACCACGCAACCTCGGTGAAGCCTTAGCTCGCCTTTCGTTTTCCATTCTGTCGCGTGGTCGGACATTTTCAAAAGCATTTCGCTTTCCCTGAGTTTTGAGTGTTCCCCGCGAAGAGAGATTCCCAACGAAGATTTGAGATTCCTGCGAAGAGTGTTTCCCGCGAGAGAGATGTGGAAACTTACTGTGCAATTTGAGCGTTCCCAACGAAGATTCTAAAAACCATTTTGCCCTCCGCTTTGTTTCCCTGCATGAGTTTTGCAAAACCCATGCTCGTGTATTTTTGTTCACACTCCTCGTCTGGCTTCTCCTCATTATCTCTGACCGATGAGGGGGCCGATGGGATGTAATCAGAGAATGAGTTGTTACATTGGTTTTGAACATTCAGCTTTCAACTTAGCAACGGGACCGATTGTACCAAACCAATACAGGATGCACCGCGCGCGCGCGCGGCCGCGCGGGCGGCGGCTCGCGCACTCAGCTGGCGCATCGTTTTCTTCATATTCCATGTTTACATGGCCGCTTCTTGCACCCAGAAAATGTGCGCTTTTAACTTCACATGGGGGCCGAGTGTATACAACCAATACAGGATGTTCCGCGCGCGCGGCGGCGCGCGCACTTTCCTGGCATATGGGATTTGTCATATCCACGTATAGCCGCTTCTTGTACCCAGAGAACGATGTTTTACGTTGGGTTCTGAAAACGCAGCGTCAACTTAGCATTGGGACCGAGTGTATCAAACCAGTACTAGATGCACCACGCGCGCTTCGGCGCGCGCACTTTCTTGTCAAAGTGTATTTTTCATACTCCACGCTTATATGGCCGCATTTTGCACCCAGAAAATGCATGCTTGCATTGGGCTTTGAAAATTCGGTTTTCGATTTAACAAGGGGGCCGAGTGCATAGCACCCATACAAGATGCACCGCGCGCGCGGCGGCGCGCGCAATTTCATAGCACATGGTATTTTCCAAATCCACGTTTACATGGCCGCTTGTTGCACCCAGGAAATGATGTTTTACGGGGGGGCGGGGAAGGCGGGGTCGGAGACGGGCGGCGGGAAGGAGGCAGTGCCAAGGCGACGTCGGCGTCCGGGCCGCCGCCAGGCCGTCTTGGTTGTCTGGGAGCGATCTTGGGGCACCTGGGCGACTGGTGAGCCCCTTTGGACCGCCTTGAAGGTTTTTGAGGGACACTTAGGCCTGGTTTGGGGGCCCTCCTGGGCGGGGCTGCCGCCCTGGAGGCCCACGCGAAACACCCCGAAAGCGTCAAGAGCGCCCCGGATCGCATGGGAAACGGGGGCCCGGGTCCTGAGAAGGACCTCGTCAACCCTCGACCTCACAGGGCTGCGGGAGTTTTGGGGCGCTTCTCCACGAGCCATGAGGCACGGTGGCGGAATAGTACGCAAAAGGGATGGAGGAGGAGGTGGAGGTGGAGGCAGGGGGGGGGGAGGTGGAGGAGGGGGAGGAGGTGAAGGGAGGAGGGAGGAGGGAGGAGGAGGAGGAAGTCGTCCTCCAGTCTGAGCGTTGGCCCATTCGGAGGAGGGAGGAGGCACCCGCGCCGAGGCTGCCCAGGCCTTCGCGCAAGGCTCGCTCGGGTCGCCGCAGGACCCCGCGACGATCGACGACGCCAGCGAGGACGACGCCGATGACGACGTGTTCGCTTCTTGCTCCTAGGGGCAACGATGGGGAGGGGGCTTGTCCATGGGAAGTTTTCGAGGTTCGATGTTTTCGGACGTTTGCGTCGGCGCCTCGCCGAAAGCGCTCTGGGGGGGGCCCAGATTATCCCGAACGGCCGTCTGAGGCCCGAGCTATGGCCCGAGAAGGCAATCAGCGATGCATCGCCGACTCCTTCAGGCAGTCCCCCCCTTAAGACAGTCCCCATTTAGACAGTCCCTTCAAGACATTCCCCCCCTTGACACAGTCCCTTAAGACAGTCCCCCTCTTAAGACAGTCCCCTTAAGGCAGTGCCCCACCTTAAGACAGTCCCCCTACGACAGTCCCTTACTCAAGACAGTCCCTCCTTAAGACAGTCCCTCACTTTAGGGAAGTCCCCCTAAGACAGTCCCTTCCTCAAGACAGTCCCCCCTTTCAGACAGTCCCCCCCTTACGACAGTGTCACCTCTCTGCTTCCCCCCCTCAAGTCAGTCCCGCCCGGCCGCTCCCCCATCACTGCTTTCCTGCGCTTCTGGTGCTCCTCGTCGCCACGGCAGGGCGCGGCTCGGGGCACCAGCCAGGACGGGCCTCGGGATGCCTCCAGGACCGACCTCGGCCGGACGACGCCGACGACGCTCGAAGCCCAAGAGGCGGCATCAGAGCGAGGGGGCCGAACGGCCTTACACCATCCCTTGCTACGTGGGTGAGGTGGGATTCCGCGACCCGGGTTATGCTTGTTTGTTGCTGGTCGTTGTCCTTGTCCGCTGGTTGCTGTCGCCCCACCCACCCCGCGACCCACTCCGCGCCCGCCCCCTCTGCGGGGTGCGACATGTGTTCGTTTGTATAGGGGGTCGGCGCCGGGGTACCCCATCAGCGGCACGGCTGGAGAAGCCCAGGCGGAGCACGTGCAGATGGCGGGCGAGGAGGGCCTCCATGCCGTGTGCAGCGGGAGCTCTCCGGAGACCATCGTGAGACCGTCGTGCCCGTTGTGGCGCCACCCGAAGATGGTGGGAGCCCCGAGGGCTCAGCCAGACTCAGAGGAAATGAGTCAAAAGCCGTGCGCCAGCATTCCTGCTTGCGGCCGGTTGGATTGGTACGGCCGTCGGGCTGTTGGGCGACTCGGCCTGCTCAGGCCAAGTGCCGCCGAGCTCCGACAGGCGTTACTCGGAGGAGGAGAGGAAGAAGTAGAGAAGGGGAAGGGGAGGCAAGGATGGGAAGAGGGAGGGGGGGCCCATCCCAACAAGCCTGACCGCGCCTCCGCCGCCGCCGCCGCCTCGCTCCGCGCGCCAGTTCAAACAACGCTGGGTCGAAGAGGCGTGCGATTGAGTCCTGACTTGCGCGCGGTCCAGATTTCATTTCGGGCCTCACGCCCCCCTCTCCATTCACGTAAACTTGCTTGAATATAGACAAACCTGCCTCTCCTCTCTTCAACGAAAGCTGATGATTTCGGAAGCACCTTGGATCATCGGACCACCCTGGAGCGCATTGGATCACCTTGGGAATAAACACGCACGAAACCACACAAAGCACGGGGACGGCACCAGACGGCGCACGGGGAATGGCCGCCCGAGCGATGGCAGTTCGTCGACAGCTGAGGGTTCCAGAAACTTGTCTCGCGCCGCTCAGGGAGGCCACCCCCGAGGACGGGCGCACCGCGTTCTGCCCCGCGTGGTGTTCCCCGACTGAGCTTGCGAGGAGGTCGTCGAAGAAATCCTGCAGGTGCGCTCAGCAGGCGCACCGCCCCAGCACAGCATCCTGGTGGCAGCAGGGGTGAAGAATGAAGACGTGCTTTCTTGGGTACTCCTGGTGGTTCCCAGGAGACGCGCGGTCATGTGCACCTTGGTGTGCTTTTCTACAGGGATCGTGGCCGTGCGGTTTAAACATGTAGCCGGCATTGAAGCGAGAGTACCAGTCTTGAGAAGACATTGCGAGGAAGATTCAGGTGAAATGGTTGCCAGACCAGACGGTTTAGGGCTCCCAGTCCCCTCTGTGGAACTCTTCTCTTGATTTATTCCAATGTCGATTAAAGCCCTCTAGCAAAGCGTTATGAAGGAATCTAAGAGGTGCGCTCAGCAGCGGTATGAATATTTGGTGCGTCCGTCGGATTCACAGCTGGGAATGTGGCCTGCGAGTTGCCGCGAACGGTTGCCCTCGAATCTCGCGGCGGAATGGCGTCCCAAACATGGGAAAAGGCCTCCTGGAATAGCGAAGTACCCCCCCAAATGCACGAGCTCTGGGTTTCAGGCGGAGCAGGCTCGAGAGAGCGGTAAACGGGACGGGGCACCAGACTCGAGCGGTGCATGTCTTGCTTATCCTGCCGCCATCTCTGCGCCTGATCGCCCGCGTGCGTCGCGCCACGTGCTTTCTCTTCACTTCACCGTGATGCTATTGCATGTCTAGTGCTAGTGATATCCCTCTCCCGTACCCTTCAGACCACCTGAAAATGTTGCCCGCAGCCAGTTCAACTACGTACTCCGAACTTCTGTGCAGCCTCCAAGAACATGTTGGCGCGGCCCCTCTGCAACCCGCTTCCGATGTGCATCCTTCAGCCTCACCACTGTTTGTATCGAGTCCTGTACACGGCCCCAGAAAAACTAGCAAAAAAGCGTGGAACGCGTTAGATCGATTCAGACCCCCCCCGAAGATCATGCAACCAACGCGCCCGAGTATTCCCTGAGAACTGAGAGGGGGGAGGAGGGAAAGTAGAGGAGAAAGAGTAAAGGCAGGGGAGGAGGGGGGTAGAGTGGGAGGAAGGACCGAGAAGGATGAGGAGGTGGAGGAGGAGGAGGAGGAGGCGGAGGAGTAGGAGGAGAAATGCGGAATCAGGAAGGGCGGAACAAGAGGGACGGGAGAGGAGGATGAAGGACGGAGGAGGAGGAAGACGACCGAGGAGGATGGAGGAGGAGGTTGATAGCCTGGCGACGCAACCACAGCGACACAACCACAGGGTATGGAATTTGATGGCAACGATACGATCTGTGATGCTCGAGTGATGCCGGCGCCCCGGCGCCACCGCCTAGCCCCGCGTAGGGCCGTCCCCCTGGGACGACATAGGCGCAGCCTCGTAGCCTCGTAGCAGAGAGCCATTCGGGAAACACCCGAGGCGAATCACAACCCTCACGCTCGGAGCCGACGCCCCGAATGCGACATGGCCCCGCAACGCCCCACTGGTTTGTCGCCCTCCGAGGGCCGTGCTGCGCCCAACGACGGAAGGCCACCCCAGCCTGGACGGAAGGTGCGAGTGGAGGACGAGGATACCTGATGGGCCTGTTTTCCACCACCACCACCATAAGTTGGAGGGGAGGGTGTCCTCCTCCTCCTCCTCCTCCTCCTCCTCCTCCTCCTCCTCCTCCTCCTCCACCTCCTTCCCCGCTCCAACTTATGGTGGTGGTGGTGGTGGAAAACAGGCCCATCAGTACCCCCTCTCTTCACCGAGATCAAGCGACGGTTGTTTTACATTCTGGCAGATTGATTTGCATGGAGGGGGTGGGGAGTGGCGAGGCCCGAGGAGAAGTCTGGACTTCACGCGTGGCAGGATTCCCTCGCTCGCCCTTTCGGCCCAGCGCTGTTGGAGATGGCGGCGGAGGAGAGGGGGGACGTCCATGCAAGCATACTTGCCATAACCGAAATACAAACACGCTCATGAGGATGGAGGAGCATGTGGCAACGAGAGTTGGGGATAGGCACAGTGGGGGCTGCATGGACCCCCAATCGCCCATTGATCGCCGATATGGCCTCGATAGCCTCAACCCCCTTGGGATGGTGCGGTTCTCCTATCGGGGGCCCATCGCCGATCCCTCGACGATGTGTCGCCGATTCCAGGTCCATGCAGCCCTCACTCTGCCAGATCCTCCCCTTACCCTTGCCCCTCGAGGGGGGTCCCCCCCCCTCTCCGCTGGGACCCCGAGGGCCCCGCCGGCGACGCGGTCACACGCGGCCCCGGCGGCCCCGCTGGCGGCGCCGACCGGCCCGCGGCGGCGGCGGCCGGCCCGAGAGCCGCCGACGCGCCGGCGGCCGCCGCCGCAGTCGAGTAGCGCCGCCCGCTGGGCGCCCGCCGCGCGCGCGCCGCGCCGCCTGGCCGGGCGCCGCGGCCTCGGCGGGCATCGCCGACGCGCCGCGTGGCGTCGGCCTCGGCAAAGGAGGGCCAACGCGCGCGGCCCTCTCCAGAAGCAGGAAGGGGTACCATACCTTGCTCTCGTTTTCGCCGTGTTGGGCCTCGTGGAAGGCCCTCGTCGCCGCGGCTGGATTCGCCTCGGGATCCGCGTCAGAACGCACCCCAGGAGAGGTCTGGGGAGTGGCGGTATCGGTACCTTTAAGCGGTCTCTGCGTTCTCAATCAAACTCGGGCAATTTCACTGTGCCTGTCCCGTTGCCCCTCACGGGCCCTCGCCCGTCGGGGAGGCGCCCAGGAGGGGTCGGCCCCGCGCAGGCTTCGGAGGCGGTCGGAGGCCAACTTCGGGCCTGAGGAGCCGGCAACACGCTCACCGAGCGCGTTCCACTACTCGCAAAGTGCCTCTGCGCAAACGTCCGGAAAGAACACATGTTTGCCTCGATGTAATGGATCGTGGACCCTCCGCGGCGGATCCACGCCAATTGCGAGTACGTAGTTACTTCTGCGAGAAGTGGAACGCGCTTGTGTGCTCGCATGACAGAACTCAGCCACACGCACAGAGGGGTGTGGGGGGAGGGGAAGGGCCTCTCAGAAGCACCCCTGCCTCCTGGAAGGCGCGGGCATTGTCTGTGGATGTAGGGCCGGCGCTTTTCCCAGCCCCAGGGCCGTCAGGCGTCGGCTCAGGACGAGAAGCCGGTCCCCGGGAAGGGGTCGCCTGAATGACGATGCGGGTGCCACGGCCACGCGCAGAGGGGCGTAGGGGAAAGGGAGGGGGGAACGGGAGGGCTTCTCGGAAGCACCCCTGCCTCTTAGAAGGCGCGGGCCTTGCCTGTAGATGTAGGGCCTGGCGCCTTCTAAGAAGCAGCCTCCTGAGAAGCCCTGCCCCCTCCCTCGACCCCCTTGCGCGCGCGGCCAAACAGGAGGTGAGGGCCAGGGGGGGGGGATATTTCAGCTGGGTATGTCCCTCTATAGGGGGAAGATTCAAGATGAGTAAAAAGGTAGTATGGGAACGTTTTGTCGTGCTCTTTTGATTCCCCAAGCAGCTTGCTAAACAGGGTGCTGTTGTGAAATAGAATCTAACTCCGGCCGAGGGAAGTCGGAGCAGAGACATCCTCACACAAATTTGATGGTCCGGGCCGTTTCGCTTGAGACATCCTCACAACTCTCGTTTCTGAGTTGGCCGGGATTGGCCGTTTCGCCTGAGACCTCCTCGAAAAGTTGCGCTCCGGGACGCCGCGCGAGAGGTGGTCCGGGCCGTTTCGCTTGAGACATCCTCGAATCTCTGAGCCCCGAGGTGCCGTGCGAGAGGTGGTCCGGGCCGTTTCGCCTGAGACATCTTCGAAACTCTGAGCTCTGAGATGCCTTGCGCGAGGTGGTCCGGCCCGTTTCGCCTGAGACATCCTCGAAACTCTGACCTCGGAGATGCCGCGCCAGAGGTGGTCCGGCCCGTTTCGCCTGAGACATCCTCGAACTTCTAAGCTCTGAGATGCACTGCGCGAGGTGGTCCGGCCCGTCTCGCCTGAGACATCCTTGCTACTCTGAGCTCTGAGATGCCCTGTGCGAGGTGGTCTGGCCCGTCTCGCTTCAGAGATGTTCGCAGTTCTGAGCTCTGAGATGCCGTGCGCAAGGTGGTCCGGCCTGTTTCGCTCAAGACATTCTCGCAACTCTGAGCTCCCAGATGCCCAGAAGACCAGATGTTACATATCCTCCCTGGGAGCCCCAGGAGATCCCAGAGAGCTCCAGGAGGCCGCAGGACACCCAGGACAGGCCCCATGGGCTCCCCAGGAGATTCCCAGGAGGCTCCCAGGAGGCCCCAGGAGGCCCCCTATCAGCACGTGTCAAGTTAATACACATCCGGTGTCGATTCGTTGATTTGTTCCTGCTCTTGCGCCCCCCCTCCCTCCATTTTGAGAGGCCCAAACGGCTACAGGCTAGATATCCCGCCCTGGGAGCCCCAAGAGGCTTCAGGAAACCCCAGGTGGAGTTCAGGAGGCCACAGGAGGCCCAGGAGGAAGTCCCAGGAGGTCCCCAGGAGGCCCCAGGAGGCACCAGGAGGCCCCCGCAGCTCGGAGCTCTGAGACGCCGCGCTCGAGGTGGTCCGGCCCGTTTCGCCTGAGACTTCCTCGCAGCACGTTTCGCCCGAGACACCGGCCTGTCTCGCCTGAGACATCCTTGCAACTCTGAGCTCTGAGATGCCGTGCGCAAGTTGGTCCGGCCCGTTTCGCACAAGACATTCTCGTAACTCTGAGCTCCCAGATGCCGCGCAAGAGTGGTCCAGCCTGTGGGGCCAGAAGACCAGATGTTACATATCACCCCTGGGACCCTGGGAGCCCCATGAGGCCCCGGAGAGCTTCAGGAAGCCGCAGGACGCCCAGGACAGGCCCCAGGGGTCCCCAGGACATCCCGAGGAGGCTCCCAGGAGGCCCCAGGAGGCCACCTATCAGAACGTGTCAAGTTAATACAAATCTGGTGTCGATTCGTTGATTTTTCCTGCTCTTGTGGCCCCCCCCCTTGGGGGGCCCCGACGGCCACATGTTAGATATCCCCCCCTGGGAGCCCCAAGAGGCTTTAGGAAGCCCCAGGTGGGGTCCAGGAGGCCACAAGAGGCCCAGGAGGAAGCCCCAGGAGATCACCAGGAGGCCCCAGGAGGCCCCAGGAGGCCCACGCAACTCGGAGCTCTGAGACGCCGCGCTCGAGGTGGTCCGGGCCGTTTCGCCTGAGACTTCCTCGCAGCACGTTTCGCCCGAGACGTCGTCGCAACTCTGGGGTCCGAGATGCCGCGCGCGAGGTGGTCCAGCCCGTCACGCTGGAGACATCCTCGCAACTCTGGGCTCCGAGATGCCCTGCGCGAGGTGGTCCGGCCCATCTCGCCTGAGACATGCTCGCAACTCTGAGCTCTGAGATGCCGTGCGCAAGGTGGTCCGGCCCGTTTCGCACAAGACATTCTCGCAACTCTGAGCTCTCAGATGCTGCGCAAGAGGTGGTCCAGCCTGGGGGCCCAGAAGACCAGATGTTACATATCCCCCCTGAGACCCTGGGAGCCCCATGAGGCCCCAGAGAGCTTCAGGAGGCCGCAGGACACCCAGGACAGGCCCCAGGGGTCCGCAGGAGATTCCCAGGAGGCTCCCAGGAGGCCCAGGAGGCTCCCTATCAGAACGTATCAAGTTAATACACATCCGGTGTCGATTCGTTGATTTTTCCTGCTCTTGTGGCCCCCTCCCCTTTTTGGGGGGCCCCGACGGCCACATGTTAGATATCCCCCCCTGGGAGCCCCAGAGGCTTTAGGAAGCCCCAGGTGGGGTCCAGGAGGCCACAGGAGGCCCAGGAGGAAGCCCCAGGAGGTCACCAGGAGGTCCCAGGAGGCCCCAGGAGGCCCCCGCAACTCGGAGCTCTGACACGCCGCGCTCGAGGTGGTCTGGCCCGTTTCGCCTGAGATTTCCTCGCAGCACGTTTCGCCCGAGACGTCGTCGCAACTCTGGGGTCCGAAAGGCCGCGCGCGAGGTGGTCCAGCCCGTTACGCTGGAGACATCCTTGCAACTCTGGGCTCCGAGATGCCCTGCGCGAGGTGGTCCGGCCCATCTCGCCTGAGACATGCTCGCAACTCTGAGCTCTGAGATGCCGTGCGCAAGGTGGTCCGGCCCGTTTCGCACAATACATTCTCGCAACTCTGAGCTCTCAGATGCTGCGCAAGAGGTGGTCCAGCCTGGGGGCCCAGAAGACCAGATGTTACATATCCCCCCTGGGACCCTGGGAGCCCCAGGAGGCCCCGGAGAGCTTCAGGAAGCCGCAGGACGCCCAGGACAGGCCCCAGGGGTCCCCAGGACATCACCAGGAGGCCCCAGGAGGCCACCTATCAGAACGTGTCAAGTTAATACAAATCCGGTGTCGATTCGTTGATTTTTCCTGCTCGTGTGGCCCCCCCCTCATTTTGGGGGGCCCCGGCGGCCACATGTTAGATATCCCCCCTGGGAGCCCCAAGAGGCTTCAGGAAGCCCCAGGTGGGGTCCAGGAGGCCACAGGAGGCCCAGGAGGAAGCCCCAGGAGGTCACCAGGAGGTCCCAGGAGGCCCCCGCAACTCGGAGCTCTGACACGCCGCGCTCGAGGTGGTCTGGCCCGTTTCGCCTGAGACTTCCTCGCAGCACGTTTCGCCCGAGACGTCGTCGCAACTCTGGGGTCCGAAAGGCCGCGCGCGAGGTGGTCCAGCCCGTTACGCTGGAGACATCCTCGCAACTCTGGGCTCCGAGATGCCGTTCGGGATGAAAAGAAGGAGGAGGAGGAGGAGAAGGAGGAGGAGGAAGAGGAGGCATGTTTTAACATGCCATGCCAGCCCGCATTGGACGAGAACGCAATCGACCTTGGGAACCGCAGTGGGTCTAA